GCTGGCCAGGGAGTGGGGTGGGGGCTGGTGGAGGACAGACATTGGTGGGGGAAACACATGGACACACACAAGAGGGAAGAAATTGCTGTAAGAAAACCAAAGAAAGGCAGAGACGCAGGAAACAGAGGCACACAGAAATAAAACCACACCCAGCGTGGGCAAAAATTGGGGAGTGAGAGGTAAGAGCAGGGCTGGGGGAGGGGGCTTTCATTTTAATCATGGATTTGGGGGGTTTTAATCAGACGATTTGCAATTTTTTAATTGGGGAAAACCAGGATCCCTACTTATCAGATACGTGGCATCCCACCCCAGAGCATCTGCTTCAACTTCCCTTCCTTTAAGCCTCCTCCCTCAGTCCCAAGCAGCGGCTGATTTTTCAGTATTTCGTCTCAGCATTCAAACTAGCAGCTTTCTTCTTTGGCAGTGAGCGCTCCAGGAGGATACTAATGAGAAAGCGGTACACGGCAGAGCAAGAGCTGGTGGAACAAAACAAACCCTTACTTGTCAGAAGAGCTACCCTTGGATCTGAAAATGCTCGGGCTGAGAACTTAACACGTGAGAAGCCTCCAGTGAACTGTTTCCTACAGGAAAGCCTGAGCTGTTGAGCAGGAGCTGCAGCACTGATGCCTTGACAACAGTAAACAGCCTTCAAACAGCTCTGAGTTCTGCCAAGAGAAGGGCAGCCTGCTCCCTTGGACCCAGCCTGCTCCCATTTATTTTCTGAAACCTGGGGTGGAGGTGGACACAGCATGCTGAAAGGAGGCAGGAGGGTACCCTCTTACCTGCTAAGGCTGAATGTTTCTAACTTCCCTGAGGCAGAACTTGGCCGCACTTTCTTCCTCCAAGACATGATAGCAGAAAAATCCTTCAGACAGCACCACTAGCTGCAGAGTCTCTCCAGATCCTATCCAAGACCCAGGATGGGAAGGAAGGAGCTGTACCTCCAAATTGGGCTGCTCTCCCAGTGCTTGCAGCTGCTCTCCTGGCACCTCCCTCAGGCTATTGGCATCACATGTGAAGGTGTTGATTACACAGTGCGCACAGAGCTGGAAGGAGGGGAGCTGGGCACAGCGCAAAGCCCTTCTTCTCTGTTCTGCTTGATGGGAACCAAAAACCTGCTTCTGTTGACTGCATCCTGAACTGTTGTGTGCAATGGGCTGAGGTTTACAGAGACCACTGCTCTGCTCCCCTCAAAAGAGGGAGAGAGAAGAGAGGGGTTTATCCCTTGGTGCTAATATCAGTGAGCAAATGACTACAAAAATTACCACAAATGCTCTTTTGAAGAGGTTTTTAAAAAAACAGAACAAAACACTGACCCAGTCACTGCAGTCCCAGTGCAATGAACAGAACTTCAAAGATACCTAGCTTTTTTATGTACTAAAAATGCCTGCCTTGAATGATTTTCCCTCTTTTGCTGTTCATTAAAACTAGAAAAGATTTTGTTGCAAGTATTCTCACTTGCTTTGACTTTCCCCTGATCATGTTTCAAAAGATGAGTAAAGAGAGAGGTTTCCAAATTCTGAATATTTTAAAGAAAAAGCCAATTCCCTCATGTGGAGCTCCCTAAGTGGAACATTGCAACAATTTTAAATTAATATTGTTTGTGTATGTTGTGCCTACAAACTAAGGCTCTAATCCAGAAAACACTTATGCATATACTTACATGGAAATATTAATGTGCGTAAGTCATTGTACTTCAATTGTGTACACATACATTTGCGAGACAGGGTTGCAGTCTGAAAATAACACACCAAAGGTGAAGTTACATTTCAGTGTTCTCTGGGTTATGAATGTAATAATTTGTTAATATGCCTTCACAGAGTAAGAATCAATTTTCCAACAAAATAGAAACCATCCAATCAAAATATGTTATTTAAAAAAGTACATGGTATCGAGGGCCAGAAGTACAGCTTAATAACATGTAGTTTAGAGAAAGACAATCAAAGGCACGGTGGATACATGACATTAAGAACTGATTTGTACTTCAATTTAAGTCATTAGCTTCAGGAATTTGAAATACCTTGACCATGGTGAAATTCAGGAAATAAAGATCAAACTATATATTTTCACTGTAGATGGCTTATTTCAGGTAAGTAAGAACAAAGTCTTCAGGAAAGCAAACAAGTAATTCTCTCAGGAGCATCTGCATCAGAAATGAAACGCACAAGAATACTTTCCTCACAGCAGCTATGGGCAAAGGGCTCTTGTACAAATAGGTTCCATATAGGGCAAAAAAGAACACAGCACAACTCTTTCAGCACCATGACCACCCTCACTGTATTTCATGATAGTTATAATTTAACAGCTTATGAATTAAATAGTGAGGAGACAACATGGAAATATACTTCTTAATGCAACTGAGCAGACCTGCACCAAGAACTTTACATTGAATGAGCATCTAAGGGTGTTGCTTCTTATTATGGGGCAAGGTTGCTTGTAATCAATGTGTACATATTGTGGAGGTTCTCTGGCAGCCCACATTGCTATTCTCTTGTGGCAAGTATGGAGATGGATGGTCATTGGTCACTTGAAAGCTTTTGCTCACAAGAGAAAGAACTCAAAATTGAAGATTTCCAAGTGGGGCAGTGGGAGGATGTCAGTCAGTAGCAAGCCCAGGTAAAACTGCAGATTGGAGCTGGCCTTGTGGGGACATTTATACATCAGCAGCTTGTGGTTGGAATTCAAGGGGAGAGGGGTATCTAGTCTTTATCTACAATGATATTTTATGTACACAGCAACAAACAGAATTAGAGTACACTACATCTTTAACATGTTTGGTGATATACAGCAGGGCTGTCCAGCTTCTAAGTGGCTGGGGCTGAATGCCTGCCAAGCTGCACCAGTGGGGGTTGCATGCCTGCCAGCTGCTCCAGGACAAACCACAAGCCCCTGGGCTGCACACTGTAGATTACCCCCTCCCACCACTGCACTGGCCCTGTGTCCCACTGAACTGTGCACCCCTCCATTGCTGCTCCCTGCACCCTGCATCATATGCCCCGCAGTGCTGTCCCATGCATCCACATGGTCCCAGGACACCCTCATCTCCCACGCTGTACATGCCCCCTCAGAGGGGAAAGCAGGTGCCCAGAGACTCTGGCTGCTGTTGTAGTGGAAGCAATGGTGAGGAGGAGCAACTGGGCAGAGCCCAGGAACCCCAGCTTTATTCCTTGTGTGCCATATGCAACTTTACTCCTCATGGACCATCTGTGGGGCAGCTCTGATATATACAGCATCCTCCAAGCCAGGGACAAGTGTTTCACTGGTATTTGCAATACAGGGATTACAAAACATTCTTTCATGTTCTGTAGCCCTCAAAATCAGCACCCTGCTGCATGAGGCAGCAGCACAAAAGCCTTTATTATTTTAGTACATGGTTTCATTCTGCAAACTGCTTACCACACACCCAGACACAGACATGAGGGGTTACAGTTACAGCACTCATTCAACACTGAACGTCTTTCTCCCCTTGCATTGTTTGGTATCATTTGCATTCAGTTACTTTGTCTGCTGGTGGTCTCTTCGGAGGTGAAGGCCTTCTGAATGTCTCATTCTGGTTCTCATTCACTGTGTTAAGAAAGTTCTGAAGAATCATTTTCTCTGTTATAATTAAAATAATAAAGGAGTTTGTTTGAATTACAAATTGTCAAATGAATAAAAGATATTTGAAGAATTTCATTTATGAACTTTTGCCTGTGGTTATAGAAGTCCCAGCACTTTTAACACAAAGATATTTTTAAGAACACAATATTATCTTCTACATGTTCTTGTTTGGGGAAGTAGGAAAAAAATCTCAATTTCCTAATAATTCCTCCAGCGGAGAGACAGAGGGCTGGGGCTCAAGGTCCACCCACACTATAGGAAAGAACCAGACTGTTTTTCTGCTTTTCCAACAGATATGAAAAAAGCTGTGTCCACATAGGTTCAGACCTTATGGATTAAAATAGATCTTAGTACAAAATCCTACCTTGCTCTGGAGCATTTTCAACATACTTATTAACTTGTTCTGGGTCCAGAGATTTTAAAATTGAAATAATACTGAAATAATCTTTCCCAAAATCACTTTGGTATGTGGTCAGCTGCTTAGTGTTTTCATGCTTCTGGGTGTGAGCAAGTGTCACTGTAGGAACTAGGAAGATAAGGAAGACAGAAACATGGAAGTGAAAGCAATACTTCATGAAACCAAGTCTAGCCACTTATGAACTGAAGTCTCTTTCTGTGGCTTTCACATTAATTTAGGCTTCTTTCTTGCACTAGAATAGGTCCTTCCATATGGGTCATTTTGCAGGATCTGGACTCTTTAATAATCTGTCTTAGTTCTATACGGAAGGAGATGACTTATCTGTATTGTAAGGCCCCATGAATATCAATGGACACACACACACACACACACACACACACACACACACACA